CTTTCACCCCGACAAATCTCACCAATTATAAAACTCATCTTTCTCACTCTTTCCTCGTCTCAATCAACCCTCAACCCCCGCCGCAGCTCTCTTTATTTTCCTCACATTTTCTTGTTCTTTCTTCATCTCTCCCTAACTCCCTCCTTCACTTCTTGTATCTGCGTCCCGTGCCCATGCTCTCTTGCTCGCACCTAAAAGAACCAATTACGGTGTTTCCCCTCCCTTCTAGAGCGGAGCAGGACCGAGGTGGCTGGCATTAGCAAGATAGCGCTAATTGTAGGGGTTATATTTAGTGCTGGGTCAGAGCTTTCCGAGAGGAGGAGTGCTGATAACAATGGTGGCTGCATGAGATGGCTTGTAGATGACCCTGTGCTGTAAAAAAAAAACAGGTGTGGAGGGCAGGGTTTGTTGCGTCTGATCCCAGCCTGCAGCAGCCTGGTTCGCTTAGACACAAGAAGAGGTCCATGAGGGGTTGTTGTGATATGGGGAAGCGTGCTGTGCACAGATCTACCAGAAAAAAAAAAAAGCCATTACAGGCCTGTACTTATCTGGAAGGCTTCGGATGTGTGTGCGTATGTGAGTGCTTACGGTCAGCCTCGCTGCAGCTGACAGACAGGAACTAACCTGTGAAAAAAAATCCAGAATATGCACCTTCCCCCATAACAAAACTCATCAAGCGCTGACGTTTTGCATGGCAGACTTCATTCCTTTAAATATTCGTGTTCGTGTATATTTTTAGAGATAGAACGTTATGCAAATAGCTTAAGTTATTAATGGCTTACTGGCATGAAACCTATCTGAATGGTCAACTTGTACTTTACAGGTTACACAAAAACTATCAATTAAAATACATAAATATCAAATTTTCATGTTTGCTATATTAGTATATTGCTTTTTGTGGCAAGGGGGCGTGGTTTAGCGTTTGCTGCAGATGGACAGTGAGCTCGGGAGACGTGTGGTAAGGGACGCGCCTCCGGTTTACAAGATCTAACCGCTGTTATCATTTTGCAGTGAGTCAAGAGATGGGATAAAAAGCCTGTGATGTCTGGCTGCGGAGAGAGAGAGAGAACCTGCCACGAGAGCGAGCTGTGCTGGACTGAGTTGAAGCTGCTGATGAGCAAGTGTTTTGAGTTGATGTTGGAAAGAGCCATCGTGGCAAATTTATTTTGTGAATTAAGTTCGGACCCTGACTCCTCCTTTCCCTGAATCAATGAAACTGATATTGTCACACTTCCTTAGATATTATTCCTGAAAATGTATTTTTGTACATATTTAAATAGACTAATCATTTTATTGCATTATATAAGGCACTTCAACAGAGTTTTAATTTATATTTCTGTTGATAGTTCTGTGAGGAAAAGAAAAAAACTTGAACTGTGACCAGACAAAATAAAATGCATGACTTAATTACTTCTGTTTACAATTTTTATAACTACAGGTTTTTCTACAACGTGCTTACAACCAGGGCTTGACATTAACATCGGCCAAACCGCTAAATGCGGGTGCAGTGGCGTGTAACGTAGTCACTCCTACAAGCCACTTTGACGGGTTGAATTTTATAATATATATACATTTTTCAACTGTAGTCTTTTAAAAAGGCTACATATCGATACTGAAATATCTGAAACGCTTCAAATACTCATTTTCCGCAGAATAGATATACGATACCAGCTGCGCCTCTCATCTCTCAGACAGCGAGTTGACACACAAACCCGCCTCCCCTCACTCACATGTTTCTTTTGCTCCGGATGAATATTGTTGGTGTTATGGGCTTGAATTTCGGCGTGGGATTGCATGTATTACACATAATTTTACACATTCCTGCAGATTTTGTGCTCACACCCAAAGAGAGGGCACATAAAGCCGCCTCTCAGTACTAAATTGAGTTTTTTTTCGCTGCTTATTGCACTTAAACGGTCAAATACACACAAAATAATGTTGAAATGCCAGTCTTGGCGAGTATTCACGTAAACACAGTCAGTTATGTTTTAAGTGAACGTAAACTGTTGAGAAAGAGAACACACAGTGCATCAGGTCTTAAAGTGACAGCAGCCTAATATACTGCTGCCAAATTATGAGATATAAAACATATCTATATGGCCGTTTTTTCCTGTGGTATCGATGTCAAACTTGTGGCCAGTGAAAATGCTGAGTGGCTAGTAACTTTGGAAAACCACTAGCCACAGTGGCTGGTGAGCAAAAATAATTTCTGTCAAGCCCTGCTTACAACCTATTAGTTTAGTTTTGACTTAAAGGACCCATATTATTAAAAAATGAAATTTCCTGGCTTTTTTCATGATAACAGAGGTCTAGGGGCCTATGTTACTACCATATAAGTTTCAAAACAGTCAATCCACAGACAAATGCGAACAGCCTGCATAAAATAGCTGTGCCTTTTCACAAGCCGTTGTGACTTCCGTAAAAATGTGATGTCAGAACTACCCACCCCGAGCACTGCCCACCGTCTCTCCCTCCTTTTGCCCAACCCCCAGACAACATCGTTGCTGAGCAACAACAACACGGAAACATGTCGAGAAAAAGACCAGCACTCCCACGGGACCCAATGCAACAGAGTGCGGCGTGGGACTAGATTTGATGGCCGAGTGTGGGCGCAGGCGGTAAGGTACTCATGTGTGTGCGGGTTGTGGGAGAATAAAATGACTCGCGGGACTCCCGAAAAATAGAAATATCTAAAAATAAAACATCTAAAAACAAATAAATTGTTATTATAAATTGTTATTCATATGTTGCACAAAAGCAACAAGAAACTAAATAAAAACGATTTACAGGCCAGAACGAGTTTCTATTTATTACATGTTTGCAGCATTGAGCAATGTAGCCAATCACAGACATAGGCTATGTGTTGATTTCTTGAACACAATGGCCAATGAGATGCATTTAAGATAGAATCCACTCACCGCTCAAAATTGAGTTTTTGTTCAGTTCTGAATTCTGCATGCTGGCAAATCCTCTAAATTATAACAAACGAAGTGTTGACATTATGAAAGATTTATTGTGCAGTCAACTTCATTGATAATAACGGAGCTTTGTGAGATCGCGATGAACTGAGATGTCAGCTTTTTAGGAATTATTAAGGGAGCGCACTTTGTGCTATTTCTGTCATGCCAAACCATGCGCGCAGTAGCCTAATGCTTGCTTTTATGTTAAATTAACAGTGGTTTGTAAATGTTTATGCTATAATAACAAATAATTTATCACTAACATTACAGGTGTTTTATTTACCTTACTTGTGAGCATCACCAAGCCACAGCAGGCTACAGCAAACATGACCCTAGTTACTTGTGGCCGTGCGTCACTCAGAAAACAAGACCAATCAGAAGAGAGACTCATGAATATTAATTAGACAGGCCAAAATCGACCTGTTCTTGGCAGAGCTCCTGAGAAAGGAGCTGTAAAAATATAATGAAATGGTTTTGTTACTTATACCGCAAATACATATTCTTAAGGACATCAAAACCTAAAATAAAACTTCAGAAGGGTGTACAATATTGGGCCTTTAAGAACAAATTGAGCAACCAAATTATATACAAACTTAATAGTTAGAAACTAAATAGTAGTTACTTAGCAAATTTAGTGCGATAAACATTTAATTTGTAATGAATATTGCAAATGTGTCTGTTCATAAAAACATGACCATTCACATGCCATCAATGCGACAGATATTTTTTTTCACCGCCAGGATGTTCGCTAACAGTATACCGCTGTTCAGATATTTCAAACTTTATTTTAGACCGAAAAAGAAGTATAAAAGAAGGAACTATAGAAAGAACTACGTCATAAATATATAAGGACCTTTAAAAAATAAAAATGGCCACCAAGACCTGCACTTGTGGCAAAAAGTTTCTAAGTAGCAGCTATGAGATGTTACATGTTTATCATTTTGCAATCCAAATTTTCTAAATATTCGCAATATGATTTTTGGACCAAATCCTGAAGTTATAGTCCGAATTATAACCATAAAATCTGATTTGGTTGAAAATAATTTTGTTAAAGGAACAAGGATGCAGAACCAGTGACATGTTTTGCTTGGTAAACTAATTTTCACCCGTCCCAGCTACAGCTCTCTTTCTGAGGTGAGTGCTAAGAACGTGTTACTTAACGTAGTCAACGTGAATCTCACCTTCTCTAGAACCACATGAGCACGTAAGTGTGAACCGACACACTTTTTTTTTTACCAAGGTGCCCCCCTCTTCAAACCATGTTGAATGTGAAGTGTGTGTGTGAATCTGACTCATCTCCTTTTGAAAAAACACAAACACGACACACACAAACACACACCCCCGCACACTTCAGCGTCCATCTCGCCCTAGCGTGCGGCGAAGACAGGCATGCGGGTCCAAAACTGTCAACATAAGTAAGGCTATAGGAATCCATTACTCAATAATTCAGCACAGGGAGCTGAAAGCGTCAGGGTGAGACTGGGCATTCACACGGCAGGCTGGGGGGAATAAAAAAAAAGAACGAAAAAAAAAAAACAGCCTTGCATGCTCATGAACAGAGAGACAACAGACAGAAAATTGTGCAGATGAGAGAATGAGTAGAGGCTAGATAGCACCAGATGAAAACAGAAGGAGAGAGGCGGCTTTTTAAGATGCCCAAGCCTGGACGGTGGGTGATATGAGGGCTAGAGGGGTGGGACACTAAGTATATGTGGGCTAACGGGCCACCACACAAGCGTCCATGCTGATAAAAGCAGCAGTATCTGGTGAAAGCCCTTTAAAAAGGCAGCTGAACACCCTCCCCCTCCATCAGAGTCACACGCGAGAGTCAGACAGCAAGATGAGAGCAATAAGGGTCTGGTAATGGAATGAAAACACTCCAAAACAAAACAAGGGCAGCTCTCTGAATGCAGGCCCTTTTCATGTGCGTGGCAGTGTCTGGGTGAAAAGACTGTGTGGGTTTGTGCTTTCTGGTTCAGAGACAGGCTAAAAACCACAGGGCCGATATATCAAAGCATGTGATGTTCAGATGCACAGTACCTTGCTTGTAGAACGGTCGGAGGTCCGTGCCCTTCTGCCCAATCAAATTGCTGAGGAGAGCCATGGCGTTCTGCATCATGCCGCCAACTGTGTTATTCTGGTGCTCCTAAAAAAAAGAGAACATCTTATTAAAATCTCCAAAAAAAAAAAAAAAAAAAAAAAAATGTTATAAAATGTTACAACCAGTTTGGATGAAGACGTTTTGAATGAATCAAAGCTCTGTGTAAATTAGTGGATTTAACTGTGACCACGTATAACCTGAATTCTACACAGTTTGAATTGTTTATTAGTGGATCTTGCTGAATCTTGCTGGATCTTACTAGATCCGTCATTATGTGACAGGAAGCTCGCGCTCCAGACTGCCATTAGTGCACGATTACAGGTAATAATGTTGTAAATAATGTTCAGTTTCTTGCACAGACCAATCGGTTCGCTACATAAGGCCTTAATGTATCGTCAGGAGCCATGGGTATTAATTTTGTTGTCATTGCATGTGTTTTTTTTTTTACCCTCAAAGTGACAGTAGCCATTGACTTGCATTATACATAATCACCAAGAACCACGGTTTCAGCTAAAAATCCTCTTTACTGTTCAACTGAAGAAAAAAAGTCACCTACATCTTGAATGACCTGAGGGTGAGTAAATTAACAGCAAATTTTCATTTTTGGGTGAACTATTAAAATGACAATATTTTTGAGTTTATTTGTTTTAATACAAAAGAAGAACCAGAGGTATTATCTTAAATATTGTCTCGGACCTTGGAGTGAAAAAAGTTGAGCCACTGTTTTAAATGATCAGGCTGGGTGGATGATACAGTAAATGCGGCAACAACAACAAAGAAATTATCCACAGATTCACATTGAAGAAAGAATCATATATTGACCTGAATGACACATGACTTGGGGGAGCAATGAAGGGTGTTATGGAATACTAAGTACAGATTACAGATTAGTATTTAGGGACTGTAATCTAATTATACTGTATTTTTTAGCAAATAAAGTTGTCTAAAAAGGTTACAGACACTGACTATTAATTACATTCCAAATACTAATCACATATAAAATGGGTTACACACAGTTTGAAAGTAATATTTTATCAAATTCATAAAATAAAACATGAATCACGACCATACATCTCTAGTGCGACAGAGGTATGCAAGGTTAAGTGCAATATGTTGAGTGGAAAAATTCAAAAGTTTTCTGTGAAATGTAAGTTCTTCATTACAGAACGTTCAACCCCTGTAAGTTCAACAGTGATTTGGAATTTATCATAGAATGAGACTCACAATGATGAGGTACACACAAGCAGACGTATCTGCACACATACAGTATACAGTACATGTAACACAAGCAATGCACAAAACATCATTCAAACACGCACACATACATTGGTTTCAAGCAATTTGTCCTCTGGTTTGAAAGTGTTTGTAGGTTTTAGAAAGTAACATGAAAGCAATTTGAAATCTGATCACATTTTCAATAAAGTAATAGAGTAACATAATTTGTATTATTATTAATACTAATACTAATATATAATAAAAACAATATTATTATTAAACATTATTACATTTCTAAAATACTAATATCATTAATGCTATTTTAAAAATGTGTTTTAAAGTATTTAGTGATCAGTAACGGTTAATCAAATAGTGGATTATTTTTTAAGAGTTATTTATCAAAAGGCATCTTTACACAGATGATGTAAGGCGGCTCTGTGCCTGCTCAAATTCTGAGAAATAATAATGCATAAAAGCCAGACTAAATTATGCCCCCCTTAGCCCCTAAAAGTATACTATTCAAATGCATGTATGTCACCTCTGAGCAGCATTAAACAGTCTGTGTACAGACACCTACAGTAAATACCACTTTCAGAGGCACGTCTGTGCCAACTATTTATTCTAGTTTTATTTACTTATGTATAATTGGTTACTTGTATTGCTGTTGCCACCATTTTGTAAACTAAATAAGCCACTCAAGAATATGCAGTACAATGATTTTAGCATGGTTCGTAATTTTGGCATTTAATCCCCAAAACCATGATAAAATCACTGAAACATAAGCCTTGCTCATCGCTTTAATCCAGGACTATATAGCACTTCCAATGAGGCAAACAATGTCTGCTATAAAACCAGCAAAAGGAAAAAGTGCTTCCACTCTTGTGTAGCCGTCTACTATTTTCAGGAGTGGAGAGTGAATCTAACCAGAGAGGGCAGAGGTGCTGCCAGATAGAGAGAGACAAGGCTCTGCCCTTCTCATCTCTCCCCCAGGGTGGACACCCGAGGCTGGGTGAGGCCAACAGGGGGAGCTGGCTAAGGCCGGAGGTGTAGGGACGGTGTTGTCTAGGTCTTTCCACTCTAGGGTCAAAGACACTGTCTAATCCTGCAGCGAGCTCAGGTCCAGGGGCCGATTAAAAACATGATAAACAGACAAAGAAGAGCAGAAAGAAGGCAGAAGGAGGAGGGGGAAAATCGATGGGGGTTTTAATTAGAGGTCTGAGTGAGGCTTGGGAGGGAAAGAGAGAGCGAGAAAGGGAGATAAAGAGAGAGAAAGAGTGGTCTGGCCAACTCTACTGGCTGACAGGCAGCTAGAGAAGGGTATCTCTGTCTCAGGGGAATCTCCGAGCCCCTCCACAGGCTGTGCAAGAATTTTCAAGGCCTGGAATCATTACTTTTTCCACTTTATTTCCGCACGGAGCCTCGGGAGAGGAGTGGAGGGGTCGTGCATTCATCAGGAACCTTCAGTCCATACATAAATATAGTACACACACACACACACACACTGCAGGAGAGACAATGAGGAAACGTTTAATATTGGGAGTGTGCTGAAAATAGCCTGTTTCACAAAACCAGTTCATCTTGATGTCACAGGCTACGTGTCTACATTAATCCGGATACATTTGAAAACACGACAAGTTTTGGCCTTTTGGGCCAAAGTGGACACATTTGAAAATGCCGTTTTCTCATTGTAGTGTGGACTGTGACAAAGCTATTCAAAGACGATGACGCGTTTAGTCATGTAATGTATATTACACCTATAGATATCTATGGTTATACCAACATGTGTCAGCTATGTGCTATTCACTTAATTCAGTTGGTTAAGATAAGACTTTGTACAATCTCCATATAACATTCCTGCAAAGATGACAGGAAACTGCTGTCTTGCATCAAAAGTGGTCAGTTGTGTACCATACATGGGATTGCAATTGAGTCCGACTTGGATGGACTGGACTTTCTAAATTGTGCTGGATAATAAATTGAATCAACAGTGTATGGACTTGAGCTTAACGATACCACTATTGCCTTCTGTAGAGTTTCTTATAGCTGAATTAAGCTTGATTCATAATATAATGAACTTTGCACTGTTATTGAACCAAATTGGATCAACACTGAACTCACTTAAGCTGAATAATGAGACCATTATCTTTGGTTAACCTTCTTTAATGTTAAACTGAGTTTGCCTCATAACTAATGAACTTCGCAACATCCACATTAAATAGAATCAACATTGAACTAATTGAGCTGAATAATAAACTAGGTCTTCCCGCTAACAGTCGAGTAAATGTTAGTCGATGAGAAAATGCTTAGTCAACCAAACTGTAATTAGTTGGTTAGTCACAGGAGAAAAAAAACAAACAAACACAGGAAGTGGCGAAGTCAAGCAGTCCGTGAGGGACAGATCATAAACACGGCTGGTTCTTGTGGTAATTACAGTATGTCGGGCCGGAAATCCAAATGTTTGCATATTTCAAAACATGGCTAATCATTTGAAACATATAAGTAGCAGCCTAACGTTAGCCGCCACATGGCCGCTCGCCCTAACATTATCATTAACCTAGATAAATGTGCACTATTATTAGACGCATATCCAAGTGTTCGTGTGGAAGATAAATTAGTACAGCACTTACTAAATGATGTTTAACTTAACTTGCTTTTCTCTGTATAGGCGCATCCACTATACTGCGGAGATGACAATCAGAGTCGTCAACTTCATCTTTGCAGCCGACACTGATTATTGAGTAGTTTATTGATCAATTATTTAGGGCTGCACGATTAATCATAATGAAACTGCACTGACATGCTGCGCAATACAAATAATCGCAGCCTTTGCGATTTCATAATGATTAATTGTGCAGCCCTAAATTTATAATTTTTTCTGAAACATTCATAATCATTACTTTTGCTGCACTGCGGAAAGCTTTATGATTGCTCTTGATTTATATTTAAAGGCTCATTATGGTTTAGTACTTTTCTGTAATGTTAGCAATTTCACATAGCCTATGTAAAAAAAATGATTGTGATATTAAAGGTAAACGACTGAAAAAATGCTACGGTACAAATCTGTTGTTAACAGTAAATTTCCTTATATGTATCAGACCTGCAAACTCACAAATGGTGAAAAAGGCGACAAGTTTACGAATGAAATACTTGTAGGGGGCCTGGGGGCATTGGCCCGCAGGGGAATTTCTGCGTGTGATTTGAACAAGTAAACAAAGCATTCTGATGCACTCTGACAAGAAAATAAAGTACAAAAAATAATAATAAAAAAATCGATTCACAAGCTTGCGATTCGATTTCGATTTGATATTGATTAATTTGGGGCCTAGGTACAGTACAGCAAATTTCCTCAGAAAAAAAAAAATCTATCAACTAATCCATCATCCACTGGTTCATCATTATAATATTAAAGGTTAATTACACACAAGGTTTTTATAATTACATTATAATAATTTTTTAATAACATAATTGTGTTTCTACTCGTTTTTTTTCATATAAACATTTAAATGGTGGCTGTCATAAAACGGATTTATTCAAACATTAAATATTTAAGACCAGGTTAAGTAAACTACAATGCATATATTTACACAGAGAGGAGTATTTTGCTAAATATATGCACTAAGTTCATTTTTCTAGACGACTAATGAGTTTTTGGACATTGAATTGCTTTTCTGAGGTAAATGTAAAGTTATATGACATTGTTTACAAGAGGTTACTTGCAGATCAATACATATTAAGTGTCTGCATAATCTTGGCTACTCGACAAATCACAATAATTCATAATGCATACTCTAAATCAACATGCACCAATGCTAAATTTGCAATATACTGTA